CCCCAAAACCCCAAAACCCCAAAACCCCAAAACCCCTCATAGGATTTAAATTACTGAATCTGCTAATAAATTGATCTTGAAATGATTAAGACCTACATCTTCTTATATTCTTCTAAGTTCTAGAGAATAACCGAAGAATACTTACAGCAGCAATTCCGAACTTGCCATTCTGGAGGGGTGCAGGAGTAGTATTACTGTTCATCTCCAGCCCTTTAAATGTGAGTTCTCTAAACCTCTCAATGGTTGCTTGAGGGTAAACATTAGCTAGTTCTCCGTACTCCTAAGAAGATTTAGCCATAGCCTACTTGAACCATAATTTGTAGCTCTTCTTCTCTCTCTTGTTTCTCATATTCATCTTCTTCTACATCTTTGAGTTCTTCGCCTTTGAATCTCTCGATAAATTGTTCGAAGTCTGTAAGAATTCTGCTTTCCCACTATAGAAGATTAGTTTGAAAATACCTGGAATTTAGACATCCATTCGCTCTCTGGATCACCAAGGGCGATTCAGAGTTCATATGGGGTAATAACAGGTTTACCAAACTGCTTGCTGTAGTACAAAGAGTTCTCTCGACAAGCTACGATCACGAATAGATCAACACTAGTAAAGTTCTGAATTTTTGGCTCATTGAGCTTTCCAATAAGAATCTCATAATACTTCTTGTGGCTCACAGAGGAGCCACCTCTACCAGTATTATCGATGATCTTCTTTATGATATCACTTGGTAAGTTTTGCCCCTGAAGATCGATGCTGGTGGAACCAGTCTCCTGGCCTTTAACAGAAAGAGTTCCCATGATAATTCCAATGATCTGAGCTTCTTTGGCTTGCTCGATGAGGTTGTACCTCTGCATTAAAAATTTTCCCATTGAGTTTGCTCCTTCAGAGTTAAACTCAGCCTTGACAACTTTATTATCAGAAGAAAGATCAACCCAGTACATCTGATGAGAATTAGAGTAATTCACTAATAAAGTCTTGTAAGTAGGGTTATCGGTAACATCTCCATTAGCGAGGAAGACAATATTTTCATATTTCTTTCCATCAGAGAGTCTTCCCATAATTTGATGATCAAGAGATGCTTCCTTTCTTTGACAAGACAAGTCAGGAATAGTTTCGATATTTCCTGGAACATAACAATAGTGAATGTCTGGACATGTCTAGAATGGTCAGATAGACCTTACAGTTTTGATTGTTTCCTCACTGAACAGGTACTGGTAGCCTGAATCAGCCAAGAAGATAGTATTTTCGTAATTGACATCCTCAACCTCGCTGAAATCGAATCCCTATTTTCATAATTTCTTCAAAATACCTCATATATTTGTGGAGAATACGGATATTTTTCCAATACAAAGGTAGCTCTGACTCTATTCGGAGGTGTAAAGCAAGTCCTTCCAAAGTGAAGGATAAGGTCAGTGCTGTAATGCTCTGAATTAACCTCATCTACTCAGCATTCTCCATAAGATGTGTCACCAAGAACGAAAAAAACTGCCGAATTGGGAGTGATTTCTTCTGAAATTTCATTAAATTTATCTAAAATTACAAAATATCATACCATTTAGCCAAATAGTAACTTCCACGGAGTCTTCAAGGAGGTGGTCTGGGAACTGGAGGGCAATTTTGGCTTCTAAAAATAACAAATTCACTATACCTTTCTCCTGATTTCCTTCTGTCAGGCTCCATTCCTGGATAAAGCCAGTGACATATCCTACAACTTCATCCAAAGAATAGTAGTCTATATATAATCCTGGTGTCGTACTTTCAAGAGCGATTTCCTTGGCTTGCCTAATATTACTCTGACCAAATTGGGGCTGATAACTCTCCATTTTTAATAAATATTGTGTTTTCAATAAATTCTCAGCTAAATGGGGTTTTGGGGTTTTGGGGTTTTGGGG